AATTTTTGTTCCACCACTTTAAAGGAGAAGAAGACGGCTTTTTGCCAATTTCGTCCTCTAGGTTTGTTGGAACTTAGAAATACTACCTTGAATAAAAAGTAGAACTGTGACTAAAATGAATATAAATTTTAGTTCTTTAAATTTGTTTTTATTTTGATATTGGTTGATCAAGTTTCAAATTATAGATTTTTGTTTTTTAAGTTTTTTTATTTAAACATTAGTGTTTACAATTCAATAAAAATATGGATCATTTTACCCTTTAAGAAACTAAAACAGTTTGAAATTTGAAGAGATCAAAATCAAAATAAGAACAAATTTAAAGAACAAAAAATTATATTAACCTAACGAACAAATTAAATTTGCGGGCAAGCACTTTGGTCTTGAAACTTGGAAAAGCTGTTGTTTATATACTATACATATAATACATGTTACTTTTGATTTTTAATATAAAATCAAGTTGACTAATCTAAGAGGGTGTTTGAATGAAATCAAACCGTGGTTTGGAGAATAACTTCTGAAAAATAGATTTTGGGGAGAATAGATTTTGTGAAAAAATGATTCTGAGAAGTGAGAGTGTTTGGATAGTTATTACCAGAAGCACTTTTTACATGTAGAAATTACCAAAAAAGGTATAAGTTAATATGATAATTATATAAGGGATAGATTTTATGATATATTTTGATTTGAAGAAATAAAATTGTTAATGAAATAATTTTTACTAACATAATTAATAATATATAAGATAATATAATTAATAAATAATTAATATGTGTGTATATATATATTTATAAAACATAGTATTAAATATGTTTCTAGAAAAATGAATTTTTTTATATAAGGGACTGACTAGGGAAAGAGTAAAGGAGGAAAGGAAGAGCAATTATTTGAGTCAGGGCTATTTGGTCATATGTGATGGGCCCACCGTAAGCTTCCAATAATTGGGGCCAAGAAGCAACTCTGATATGCTTCTGATAAAACCATGGTTTGCCCCAAACCATGGTTTTCATATTTTCAGGGATTGTTTGGCTGACATTTTTCTCCAAACCATAGTTTGGAATGCTTGTCAAACAGGCCCTAAAGAGGTTAAGAAAGTTATTAAATTTTTTAATAATAATATATGTTACGTAATATTTCTAAAATACTTACTATATCATTAGATTATATATTAATTTATAAGTAATTCAAATTAGTTTGGATAAAAATGATAAATATAAATACTTTAAATAATTTAGTAACTTTCTTAATCTCTCCAAATTAGTCAACTGGGTCTTATATTAAGGACTGTAATATTTTATTTTAGCTTCTATCTCACTCTCTATATATAATACAAATATAATTTAGAATTTTATGATGTTTTGAAGATAAATTTTTCAAAACTATTCCCATTCAATGCTTTTACTCCCAATCCTTAATAAATGATCTTTTTCAAAAATACCGCGTTAGAGACGGATTTAGAAAGAACAAAAATTTATTCAAGCAAGACACTATAAGAAAGTAGCTCATTTGGCCTGACCCTGTTTGCACTTTTTAAATAAATTTTCTAGCGAATATTTTTTTGAACTGGTCATGAATATTGTTATTTTTCAACTAAAAAAATCATATTGTTATCTATAAAGTTCTTTTCTTTAAAGAGTCATGAGAAAATATTATTTATTTTTGCTTTTTTTCCCCAGAAATGTAATGTTAGATTGAAGTTGGTCAACCAAAGAATGAGTAATTTACTAACATCTCAAAAGCTGTACGTGGCACAAATCTTACTCATTTTTGGCGTTCATGACCGTCATATCATTTCATTAAGAATTCATTACATTATTTTGTCCTTAAGAAAACGTGGTCATCTCCTTCTAGGTAGTTAAAAAAATGCATAACTTAATCAAGTAATAGCCACCAACAAAGACTCCTGAAAGAAGTCACATTAAATTATATAGATTTTAATTCTTTTTGGCAAAAAATATATTTTATACTCTTCTTGTCTTATTTATAAGGCAGAGAAAGAAATTTTTTTTGTTCTATTTATAAGTCATTTTATTAAATTTTTATTATGAAATACTATATTGTCCTTTATTTATTATAATATAGATAGTTATTATTTTAAAATATGTATATATTAAATATGGGTAAAGTTAAAAGATTACTATATTTTAATAGAGGGTTAATGCAGTTTAATATTTTTCTTGGTTTTTGTAAAATATGTTAGAAATGTCTTATAAATAAGATAAAAGAGTACATTAAACTGAATAATACACAGTTTACATCACGTCTAAACTTGATCATATGAAGCTGTCACATTAAACCATCTTAATTGGACTATTAATTTGTTAATTAAACGTGACGTCAGATAAATCGAGTCAATGATTGGGTGCGCCAATGTGGAAACGATGCAAATTACTTTTTTTTGGAGAAAAAAAAAAGCTGGGGTTTCCCCAAAATAAAAAATTGGTTGTTTGAGGATTGTGACTTAGGAGACACATCCGTTGAATTTTCAACGGTTTGTTGTGGCTGTTGACTTTTGCGCTCATCACTGTATTCACTTACCACATTTGCGAATGTGACTATTTGATCTCACTTTATCGCTTATTGTGTCTTGGTGCATATCACCATATCCTACTAGTGATCAGGATTAATTATGTATGGTTATGAAAAATTTTAAAAACTTTCTTTCGCCGACATGAAATTTTAAAAACTTTGTTGATAAATATTAAATTTTAAACGCTAATTTGATAATTAAGATAAATTTAGGGATCCAATCGGTCCGTTATTTTGATTTTTATTACACCATACACATATCTAGTGTTTTTTTATGCCACTATATATTGAGTGTTAATTGATGTTCAAAGCGTAGAGAATTAGAGATGACTGTGTTAATCAATTTCTTTGGAATAAATTATAAGACCGTTCTTATTATTATTATTTTAAATAAAAATTAATTCTCTTGGCAACAATATATTTATACTTCTTTTAAATTTTATTATATGTTTCACTTTTATTCGCTGACTTAACTTAGTTTTAAACTTTTAATTTTATTCTTTAATTTTATCTCTCAACTTCAATTTATTCTCATTTTTCAATTTTATATCAAATTTTACTTTTATCTGTTACTTTCAGTTCCATCCGTTATAATTTTTACCACAGAGTTCATGGTTTGGAAAAATTAATCTTTTGGTCCTTCAAGTTTTATTTCATTTATAACTCAATCTCTCAATTATGACTTAGAACCTGAACTCTTGACATCTTTACAACTCAATCCCTAATCTTTTCACATTTAATAATTTAATCTTTATCATATATAATTTATTTTGAGTCAGCAAATAATTATCCTACATGGCAAATAATTTTATCTGTTACTTTCGTTTCCATCCGTCATAATTTTTACCACAGGGTTCGTGGCTCTGATTTGTGTTTTTGGAAGGGAGTTGGGCTAGATATCATACAGTACTAACAAGGCCCAAGGCATTGGGTTCAGAAAATTGGCCCAAATGGCAAAGTATTATCCCTTGAGTTGAACGAGGCCCACATCAACTTAACCCATACGCTCAATTATCTCCATGTTATTTTCTTACTAGGTCTTCGGCCCAGTCCAGACTAAGCAGGAAGGAGTGTGTTGTGCCTCTCCACAAAATATGCAGCCCCATCTCAATCGATGATTGAGAAAGAATGTGTTAGAAAGAAAAGGTCGGAATAAGATTTTATATGCAAAAATTTACTCAAGTTTATTCCTTCATTTTCAGCGTCTTGTTAGTTATATATTACTTGTAGGCATTAAGAAGAATTTTATGTATATACTTGTATTAATTTTTTTTGGCCAACGTCTATACTTATATTAATGAAGATCATATGTAAATTCTCATAATATACTACCTCCAATTCTTAATATAAAATATAGTTGACTAATTTGAATAAGTTAAAAAAATTAGTTAAGTTAGTTTTTCATAATAAATATGTGTTGTATTTTTTAAAATATTTTTGTTAATAAAGTGTATTAATTCGAATTACTATTACTATAAAAACTACCTTTAAAAAAATAGATAAATATGAGATACAAAGTGAATTAAATTTTATAATTAGGATCAAAATAAAAGTAAATTAGCTCTTATATTAACGACCGGAGTTAGTATATATGAGTAGTTACTAATAAATCATATTAATTACTCTCGTTGATCTTAAATATGAAAACAACTTGAAAGTTTTGTTTTGATTATAAAGACTCAGTCTGCTTTATCTTTTAAATCTATAATCTTCTTTTTAAATTATTCCTCTTAATTACGTGTATTAATGGAGCTTTTCAAATTATCCCTCTTGGGTATTTAAATTTGTTTCTCCACAAAACATTTTATGAATAAAAAAATGATTTATATATTTTTAAAAAAAAAGGACATTTAAATAAGTGGTGCAGCTAATCACCTTTTAGTTTAGTTGCATAAAAACTCTCCTGTAAATAGTCGGCTTTGAGAGGTAGGGTTTATGGATGAACAGAACCAATCAATTTCAATGTTAGCAGTGTAGTAAGCTGGTGGCATGGAAAACTTTCAGGAAGTAGAAGGTCATGGTTACAACCTCGAATCAAATAAAAATACGAGGCAGCGAAGCTTCGAATAAGTTCATCAATCTATGAATGTCGAATAAAGAGACAACAAGAGGAGAGATAGATACTGTACATGATACATAGATCTCGCCTGTGCCATTGGAGCCTGGTGATTCCACCAGCACGGTATCTCTGTCCATGTGACTTTATAAATCAAAATCATATAATATAACACAGTTTGGATCTTTAACATGCTGCTGAACTGCTATAAATCCATACACTGTACTGCGTTTGTGGAATGTTTTTGTTTAAAGTAAACAAATCTAAGACCCCATTGCTTTATCAAAAGGTGACAGTGGCACTTGGCTGCTTCCATGTGGCTGAGCCCAAAGTTTGGCCCTCTCTCTGATCATGACCACGATCATGGCCTTCACCTTCACTTACATACCATGGTTGTAAAGGAGCAAAACCAGAGAAAGCAACTGTGGAAGAAAAAGCAAACGACGTCGTCATCTTTCGCACCTTGTCTAGGATTCCCTCGACACCCTATCATTTCATCTTCTTCTTCTTCTTCCTTTTTCCCTCTTTTTTAACAAACCCACCACCTTCCTTTTCGTCTTCACAAATTATTACTCACTTGCTTCGTAAGAATCCAAGCGAAGTTTGTTTCGCTTCACTCCTTCGTCTTTTGTTTCTTCCATGGCCGTAACACCACAATCCATCCCCGACATCCCCATCGATTTTCGCGCTCCTCCGCCCTCTCCCATTGCCTCCGGCCGACGTTCCTCCTTCGCCAACGACGATGTGCTCACCGAGTTTCTGGAAACTTCGCTGCGTGTACCTGACCTTATCTTGCCGGACAAGATCTTCCCCAAACAAAAGTGCCTCGAAACGCCTCCCAAGGTTGATTTTAGATCGCTGTGTTCCGATCATGAGGACTACGTTGCGTCATCGTCCGACGTTGTTTCCGATTCCATGGCGAGAATCGGATGCTTCCAGCTGGTGAATCACGGAGTCCCGCGCGAACTGATGGCCTCATCGAGGGAGGTTGCCCAGGCAATTTTTCAGGTCCCGCCGGAGAAGCGAGCGACGGTGACGAGATCGCCACCGGAGAAGCCATGGGGTTTCGAGGAGTATCATTCGGAGGAGGACGGAAGTGAGTTGAGCGAGGAGTTCGTGTGGTGCAGAGATCATGACCTGAAGTTGAAAATGGAGGGAATTTCTCCAGTTGGGTATTCAAAATTCAGGTAACACCACATTACTATATCGTTAATGCACAAACTTCACCAAAAATAATAATCAATCGATCCCATCCTCCAAATCTCGTTCAACAAAGAAAAACAGAATTATAGCGTGAGATTATCTCTAAATAAATACTAAAATTAGATCATTTACCATACATGACGAACTAACCAGAGGGTTCCTTACAGACATGATATCCAATATTGTTTAGAAAGAGATTCTTTTTTTGTAATTTTATGTCTTAAAACAAATAAATGAGTTTCAACTAATAATTCCACAGTTATTTAACATTTTTTATTGAATACAATATAGTATTCTCTCATCTAACAGGTCCTATACTAATTAATACAATATATATATGTGTGTGTATATATCTTAGTCTTTTAAGTATTATGTGCTCCCCCCATGAAATATATTTCTCTAAAATTATTCATGTAATTGGATTCTATAGTTGAGGTGCTATCCCTGAAAATGGAACTGTTGCAGCAAAAATCTTCTAGCGTAGGTGGTTTACAGCGGAGAAAGTGAAAAAGGAACACAACATTGTAATAAGCTTATGTGACACGCAAAGCAAGGTAGAGAAAAAGCAAAGCAAAGGCAAAGCAATAGTGAAATATACGTAGTAAAGATGGGGCACAATGATTTTAGATGCCTGCAGATAAGCTGCAATTACACCTTTGTTCCAAATCACTTTACACTCTGCTTCCCTACTGTTGAAAAGCACATGTCATCATGAAACTTCTCTTCCATACATGTCAATTATGTCCCAAAACAGTGACAATGCACGCTTGGAAATGTAATGATGGCTTGATGAATCTCTCTCTCTCTCTCTCTGCTTTTACCTGCAGCAAGGAGATGGAAGCTCTCATGTCAAGCATAGAGAAGGTGGCCGAGAAAATTCTACCAGTGATGTTGAAGAATTTTCCTGGAAAATTGTTGGCTCCATCAGGGGGCAGTGATCATCAGGGGCATGAATTTGGGACGCTTTGTTGTGTTTACAAGCATAGTCAGGACAGTATGGCAGATGGATGGGCAAACTCATTGAAATATGATGTGATCAGAATGCTGATAAGAGGAAGCGATTACTCTCACGCCTTATGTTTGCATGTTTGTGATGGCTGTTCTGAGTTTCATGTTTACTCCAAGAAAGGTTGGCTCTCTTTCTGCCCAGAACAAGGTGCACTCATAATCACTGCTGGAGACCAAATTCAGGTTCATGTTCAATTCTTCCCTGTTCTCTCACACTCTACTTTTTTTTTCCCCCAGAAAAATGATTCTACAAAAAAAAAATCAAAAAGTCTCATAACAAAACCTTTAGGTTTCGTGGCATAAAATGTATCTTTTGTCGCATCAGTTTAGAATTCGATCCCCACTGCTCTTAACTTCTTGGGCGCGACCCTTCTTGTCCAAAATTTCAAATTTGAAAAAGTTCGGGTTTTGAAATAACAAAAACTCCATACTACTTACTATTAGGATTTTTTTAATGCATTTATTTCTTGACATCTCATAAGTGATTTTTCTTTTTTCTTTTTTCTTTTATTTGCTTCATGGATTTCAATATATTATTCTCTAAAGTAATGGAATAAATTGGGATGGAATCAAACATTGGAGTATCTCCTTGATTGGCGAGAAAAAGAAGTAAAGGAGCTTGTCCTTGTGCATATAATTAGATTTCATCTTTTATTTAAAATACAAACAAGATCAGGCTTTAAGCTGCTTTTATGTCATTGGTTATTTTAATATATAATGACAGCTAACTGGGGTCGCCTAATGTGATTAGTAAACACAAAGTGACCCCAGAAAATGGTGAGAAATCAAGAGGATCTATCTCTTAATTAAACAAGTTTATGTGCTTAAATATATTGTAATAACAGGTAGCGAGTGGTGGGCTGTGCAAGCAGGTGATCGGAAGGCCAATCTTGAAAGGAGAGAAAGATGATGATGGCATTTCAATGGCATTTCTCTATTCTCCTCCAAACGACACAACCACTTCTGAAACCAAAAAGGAAGCAACTATCTCCCTTGGCCAGCAAGCCTTGTTGGCTATGATCCTCATCCTTGTTTACCAATTCTTGATTTTTGTGTACAAAAAATTTTGATCATAATCTTGTTTTGGAGGATTGTTTGTGCACAGTTCCATACAAATTACACAAGCATTGGACAGGTGGTGGTTTTCCTTCTATGTGCCTGTTTGGATTACCTGTACAGAATTGATTTTGTGAGATAAATATATAAGGCGAATCTTATTTCTCAAAACACAAGTATTTTTTTTTTAATATGTGTTCAGAAATTTAAATTAGTCTGTATTAGGTAGTGGCTATGTAGATAAAACCATCTGTGATCGGTTCGATACTAAATACAGAAATACATAAACGGTGACCTCTTTGTAATTAAAAATGGGAGTCATAATACTATTATAATAATAGTTAAATAAAATCAATGAATAATATTCCACCTTCTGTGAGAGTAAATTTTTTTTTTTCCTAAACACGTATTTTTTTACTAAAAGTAATAGTATTTAAGGTATTATCAATCACTAAATATAAACAACTCTCTACTAAGAATTTAAATTTTAGTTTTCCAAATAACTAAATCTTCTTAAATTATATATTCCTCTAATCCTAAATATAAGACTTTTATACATAATGATATAAAGCTCTTATATTCAAAACGGGAGGAATAATTTTTTTTTTTTGGGGCAGTGGAAGAGGCTTGAAGCCCCACATGGCTACCCATGCGCATCAACTTCTGTTTTGTTAGTCGTCGTATAACTTTGACGAAAGCCATTACTCGCAATTTTGACTTTGGTCGGGGGCGGAGCCAGCGCCTCGACAACTGGGGGGATAAAATTATAAAAACAATTTCATATAAACATGATTTTAATATCTTACAATAAATATATAGATCTAAGTTTATTTTTAAAATTTTAATGTTTTGAAAAAGAAGCAAATTTACTAAATTATACAACATTTTTTAAATTTAAAATTTTTTATAGTGGATTAATATAGTTAGCATATTAATTTTAAGAAAAATATAAGGAAGACCTAAAAAGTTTACCTTTTTAATAGTTTTTATATTGCATTACATATTATTAATTTGAGTCAGATAAAAGGACAAATCTTCGAACTTGATAAATTATAAATCAGTATGCATTAACCTAAACCCTAAAAATTATACTGCCTCCAGTCCGAATTATAATTGGGACCGGAAGTAGTATAATAAAATTCCTTTCCAAAAGCGACTTCACGTTTAGGCTACGTTTGTTTGGATGGAGAGAAAAGTGAGAGGAAAATAGGAGGAAATATTAGGAAGGAAAACTAACAAAATCCAAGTATTCCTTCTTTCCTATTTTTCCTCTAATCCAAACATGTAAGGTTGGTCATCGAGAGACAGTTCGCCCATAGCAAACTGATGAAATATAAAGGTTGCTTGCCCATTTGTCCTGCAAAACCCATTCACACACACACATGCCTTAAAAGGCTAGAAGCAAAAGATTGAGCACAAACTGGGGAATAACAATAACAAAAGTCCCACCTTCACATGCATGGTAGGAAAAAGGGCAGTCCTCAAGGTTTCCTGTGTTTCATCTGCATGCTTCCTCCATGGCTTACTGAGCACAAAAGCAGCCTGGTCAGAAGTTGCAGCGGCTGCTGTTATGCGGTATCCGTGATCCCATCGCCTGCGAATCCCTTCACCGGGATAACGAAAATCCAGTTCAACCACCTGAAAATTAGTAGAAATAAATGATTGGTTATTGTTGCAACCAAGCTTTAACCAGTAGATAAAGGTCCAGAATGATCAAAGCATTGCCTGGTGGCGAAATCCTGTACCGCGTGACATAACCACAGCCCATCTGACCCCTGAGGTAGCCATTGCAGTAACATGGAAGCCTTCCCCCCACTTTGTCTTAATCCACTTGAAAGGAAATGAATTGCTAACTTTGAAAGATTGTAGTATATATGGTGCGCCTAGAATACAGAAACCATGGCAGCTGAAACCGGTTTAGTAATTCTTAATATAAGAGCTAAATAATTAATTTGGAGAGCTTAAAAAAATTAGTAAATTGGTTATTTATAACAAATGTGTGTAAATTTTCCTAAATTACCCTCTTATCAAACTACCCCGTCAGAACCTCTTGCAACTAATAGGAATATTTTGAAGGAAAAAAATTATAAATCCTCCAAATAAAGTAGATTGAGATCTTATATTTAGGATCAAATCCAACCGCCCAATTAGCTATTCACTAAGAACTAGAGGTAATATTTGCTAAAGTACAAGAGCATAATACTAGAGTATCCACCAGAAAACAAAACAAAACAGAGTAACTAACCTTTAGACATGACTACTATTGAGCTCCCGTTCTTGGCTCCAGCAACTGCACTGATTAAGTAATTTTTTTCCCACTGTTCCATTATCCATTCCTCCAACCGTAAAAGAAAAGCAAAATACTGATTACTACTAATTAATAAGCTCACAGGGATGGTTCAGCAGTTCATGTTTCAAAAACATATGAACACTTGACAAAAGAAATTTACCAGTCACGAGTCATGCCCTAAATATTAAAAGTTCAGACAGCAGACTTGATTATTACCTTATCAAGAAAGTAAGGAGAGAGTTCATAAACTTGTTTTTTGAACCAGTGCCTGTATCCATGATTATTGCCCAGGTTCGAACATGAAGCCACACTACTTATATATAAGCCATCCTCATTTCCCTTTCCGATAAGCTGGGAAATTCTTGCATCTGACACGTTGTAGTGATATCTGCAATGCAAATACAAGCACTCTTCAGGCACAAACAATTCATTATATTACATAATTTAAATAAGAATTAATGCCATCTTTATTTGAATTTTGAATTCCTCATTTTAGTTCACTTAAAGATTTGCAGTCCATGAAACAGTGTTACTGATCTCTGAAACAAGGTTTCAAGGACTAAAACCACTAGTTTCAAATTTTAGGAACCAAAAGCATAGCCTCGCAGAACAAAGTTCACATGGCATCAAACCAGTAAAGCAATAATTCATGCAGACTAAATATATATAAATAAATGCAGCATGTCTCTCAACTGTATCAATTAATAAGTGCCACAATACCAGAAAGTAGTACATACGTATCATGGCTTAAGGCTTACAGGCATATATACCTCTGTTTCATTGGTCTGCGAGCATCATATATACTTATCCATTGTGTTGCTGGTAGACCCATTCGCAACTTCTTTTTTGGTTGTTCATCGTTCCCTTCTTCCGTGGCCAACTGACCTCTCTTATGACCAATAATGAGCTTCACAAAGAGTAATGATAGCTTAGAATTCAATGTTGACCTCATAAAATTCAAACTCGCAATAGTGTGAAGGATCATCCAGTACCTTTTGTGCACCTTCTGTATTGATGGGTCTGATATCTGGATTTATTGGACCAACAATCCCATCAAACAGAGAATATATTTTGCGTAGTCAGGATCTTCGTCAAACTTCAGATTTACTACATGTTCAAGAAAAAGCCTAAAAGGCTGGGGGAAGAAGCCACATAAGAACTCTGGAGTAGTTTCCATCTTCTTCTTGCAAACCAAAAAATGTTTGTTTTCTCCCTGGGAAAACATGTTAAACACTAATGCTCTGAAAGGAGGCATGAGATCAGAACCAAAAAAAGAAAAGAAAAAAAAAACTAATTTAAAGATGTCCAACCTGCTCCCTGTATCCCTGCCAAGGAAGACGACCTCGAAGAAGGAAAATCAACGTATAAGCAAGGGATTCCAGATCATCCCTCCTGCTAGGAGTTCTCCCTAAATGTGCATGCACACACTTGCATAGCGGGCTGTGCCCCTAACAAATGCAATATCATGAGCCAAGAAGCAATAAGTTAATATGAATATAGAAAAATCAAGTTACGTCAAATTTTCTATATGATTCAAGTTCAATCAATTAAACCTAAATTCATATGGCCTTGGTCATACTCCAGATGTGAACCTGTTAATTCATCCCACCATCTAGATGCTGTAGGCCAAAAACATTGAGTATTAAATGCTGCATTAAGATGGGAAAGTGAAAAAAAAAAAAAAAAACTGGTTGACAGATAACACTTGAAAAAAAAACTAATCCAAGATCAGCAAGAAACAATCTCTTCTCATCCGGGGTCCCTGGAGAACCAAGCAGAAAATTTTCAGGCTTCACATCACCATGCACATACCTGCATCATTTAAGTAGATATTGATCCATCAAAAGGCTGCAAGAATAGGAAATACTGCATTGGTTTTTAAATAGAAGGGAATTACCCTCGAGAGTGCATCTTCTCAAGTATGGATATTGCTTCAATGGCAATGCATGCAACCGTTTGAATGGACATTCTGGAATTCACAACAAATAAACTTAGCAATTGAAAAAAAAAAAGGTTGGTGCAGAGCATTTACCCCCTGTTTGGATGGAGAGAATCAGAGAAAACTAAAAAAGAAAATAAGAGAAATGAGTTTTCCATATTTAGATGAGAGAAGAAAGTGAAAGAGAAAATGGGATGTGATACCCACATCATCTCTCAATTTTCTCCCCATATCACTCTCTTCGAAACCAGTTTTAATACTCATCATTTTGACAAGTGTTGTAAGCTCATCAAATCTGGACCATTTATATTCGATTTGAACAATTCATATTTAAAATCTCTAATTAATTATTTTTAGATAAAAAAACTATTTTTTAAAAGAATGATAGTTAAGAGATTATCTTTATTTTAAATTCTATACATACTAAAATAATAATTTTAAATAAATAAAAATAAAAAAGAAATAAAATATAAACCATCCAAATAAGATATGAATGATCTAGATCTGATGAGTTTAAAATGCTATCAAAGTGATGATCATCGAAACTGGTTCCCACTCTCTCCTCTATCAATCAAAACTTAATACATAATTAATTGAATGGAAATTTTCCAATACGCTGCGTCAAACTTATCCACAGGAAAGATATATGCGATTTTAAAATAAGATTTGGTTAGTTATCCCCCAAGGAAAATATATCTGGGTTAGTGAAAAATAACATTTTTATTAAAATATTTGGTTTTAAAATTAATAAAATGAAAAAATATTTTTATCATATAATTTGATTTTAAATTATTTGTTGATGTTAATGTTAATATGATCTTTTCATTTTCTTTCTTCTCAACTTTTCTTTCCATCCAACCAGAGAGTCGGTGTATATATATGCCGGCTAATATTTCAACAAACTCACATATGAGACTTCTTCCACATCATACAAGCTAGGTC